AGGCCAAGGCAGGAGGACTGCATGAGGTCAGGAGTTTGAGAACTTGAGGGAAGAGAAAAGGGAGGAGGGAGCCACTCAGAACATGAAAGTCATCTACTCTTAGTTGCTTCCTACTCCTTAGAGAAGGGAGATAACAGAAGTATTCAATAATTTGAAAAAGCAGTTAAGTTAGTAATGGAGAAGAGATTTCTTGGTTGAATCAGAAAACATTTGAAAACATCTAAGAAAGTACTGTAAAGGAAAAGGTAGACACAAATCATTCAACCACCCAAAAAAAAAGCGCACACCCACAGTCGCGTATACACACAAAACACGCACGGAAAAAAAGACAAAAAAAACACAGACCCCGCCCCCACACAGAGCACACACTACAGGGAGGAGGACACAGCACCAGCAATCACGTGTGTGGGGGGTGTGTCTGTGTGGAACGTGTGTGTGAGACAGGCAGGAAAATCACGGAAGCAAAGTGCACAGGGTACACCACAGTGACACCCATGTATGTGGATACAGGGAAGACCTCCCTGAGGAGAGGATGTTGAAGCTATAATTTGAAGGATAAGTTGAAATCAACTATTTTCTGTAATTCTCAGATTTTAAAATCATAAACATAAGTAAATGCATAGGTAAATAAAAATCAAATGTTTAAAAAGTGGCTCAGTACTAAACATTAATTCAACATCTCATTTTGTAGATTATATAGAGGGGAAAAAATCCTGTTATAATTCTAGGGTAACAAACTTTTTGCTGTACTAGTGCTTATATTAGTGTGTTTGTGTGTGGGTATGTGTTTACAATTCTTGACAAATAGTAACTGAATTGAATGGGTTGCTGGCCAGAGCTTAGAAAATGTGTTTATTAAAAAGACACTTTTCTTCCTGAAAAATGTTAAGAAAGTGGATATTGAGTGTTCTCATCACAAAAAAAGGATAACTATGTGAGGTAATGTACCTGCTAATTTGCTAGATTTAACCATTCCACAATGTATATATACTTCCAAACATGTTGTATATGATAAATATATACAACTTTATGTCAATTAAAAAAATTAATTTGAAGGAAAAAGGATACTTTTCTTCTCATACTTGTTTTCCAAGTACAAAATTAAACCTCAGTACTAACTGACTTCCAGGCATTAAATTACATTTCAAAACTATCTTTATTAAAGGTGATACAGGAGCTGTTTTTTAACAACTTATATATTAGAAGGCTTATGCTAAGTTAATATATTATAAACAGAATTTTTAGATAAGCAAATCTGAAAGCAGGAAATAAATTTGTTTTGTAAGATTTGAAGTTGCAAGTTGTAATAAGCCAAACCACCCATGATGGTGAACAATAAAACCATACAGCACTACTAGACATTTTCAAAATCCCAGGCAAAAGAAAAAGGAAAACAATGTTCTAAGAACTGTGAGTTCTGAGGTAAGGTTCTAAGCCAAGAAAGACTCCGGTATTCTGGGCAGTGGGGATCCATGGCAGGGGTTAGGAGACAGAAGGCCGTCCCATAAAAGGGCAGCAGGCAGCCCGGGGCCGGAGAGTCAGGCAGGGCAGGCCAGGTGCACATGGGAGAGCTGGACAGGAGAGCTGCAAAGATCTAGGCTCCGACTGAGGTTCTAGCATTTCACAATCTGTGTCTTCAATAGTCTAAAATAATGAAGAGGCATCTCCTCATGATGTGGCAAACCTGAGACAAATTTTAAGCTTGGAAAAATGTTTTAACTCAGCCTGCGGAGTTCAGGAACACAGTTTCAACGCTATGGCGGAAGTTACTCAGAAAACAGAAGTCACCTTGTTATGTAGATATTCTACAGCTGAACAAAGGCTGCCAAGGTACTACACAAAAGGGATGCTTTCCACAATCTGTGGTCCTAAGACCCTTGCAAAGATTCCTAATTAATGAACTGGTCTGTGAAATGCCATTCTGTAACATATGCAGGGATTATCTAAATGTGAACATTTGTCATTTTTAATTGAATATCATCTCCCCTTTTGACATGTCAAGATGCTGCCCTTCAATGAATGTAATTTTTATTCTTCTAAACCAAAGAACAATTTAAATGAGATTATGCTACTGAGTTCATTTTTAGTGTATCACAGGCTTCTAATACCAGGAACCATTTCGCTTACCATAAATTAGTGAATATCCCTCATGTGGACTTCAGCAGAAGTTAAAGAATGTGTTGGTTTTTTTCTTTGGGGTTTTATTTAGATTATCCTACAGAACTCAACACCATGCTATTTGCTGAGATGCTTGTTTTAGAGACCTAAGTAAGTCAGCCCCTTATGGCACCTAGGTTACTGGATTCCTCCTATCAAGAAAATTCAGTGTCCTCCAAGATCTAAAAGCAAAAATCTTTCTCCATATAAAAGATTACTTCTAAGACTCTTCTGATGGAGTTCTCTCTCGAGAGTTATTAATAATTTAATTCTCCCTCACATAAGTATAACAACATATTAGTATTTGTCCTAGGTTTTCTACACAGGGCCAAAGAGAAACTTCTGAAGATTGCATTCTCGATCTTCTCAGAGTTCTGGATTTTCACATGTATTACCCGCGTGTCCACTTGAGCAACAGGATCTAGATGCTATTGGACCCGCCACTGCCCTTATTCCTTCTCTGTCATTTTTGCCAACCATCTCCAAATCTGCAACAGTCCTAGCACTTTTCAGGGGCTCCTAAGTTATTCAGACACTTACTGCGTCCCTGTGGAATGCTGAGCCGGAGACAGAGCAACAAGAAATGTGCTTCCTGCCCCACAGAGGTCTCAATCTAGGGGGACAGCCAGGGACTAAGTGCTGTAAGAATGCCCCACCACCTCAAGAAAGAGGGTATACCACCAGCCTGCCTCCTGTCAGTCAGTACAGGTAACACTGAGCAGGACACAGGCAGCACAAGTGGCATCTGTGTTGGGAACAAAGGCAGGCAGGTGGCACAGGTATATTCATCTAGGCCAGGGGCGGGCAAACCATGGCCCACCTTTTTGTAACTAACACTTTACCAGAGCACAGGCATTTCTTCGTTTACATATCATCCATCTGCAATGGCAGAGACACACAGAACTGGCCCACAAATGTTTACTATCTGGTCTTTTACAAAAACAGCGTGCTGACCCCTGGTCTAGGCTGCTAACAGCTCTTGACTCCTTGGGCCATGCCTTTGCTTCTGCCCATGATGCCAACTTCTGTATGTGCCTCTGTGGGGATGAAAGAGCACAGGTGGAGCACATACATGTGGTGGGGGAGAACGTGTAGGGAAGTTCTTCTCCTGCCTGAACACATCTGAACTCAACAATGCTCACCAAACCCCCGTGTACTCCAGACCCATCTGACAGGGAGATCTGCCAGAGATGGCCTTCCTATTTGTAGCACACTCTCTGTTCCTTCAAACTTTTCCTTATCTTCTCCTCCATGAAAACCCAGCTTAAAGCTCACCTCTTATCAAAGACTCAACATGAACACGGGTTCGCATAACAGATGCTTCAGAAAGGCTGCAGCCACAACCAACTTCAAATTGTGGGTCACCACCCGTGCTCTTCAATCTGAATTCACAGATTCCACAAACATCAGCCATGTGCCAACAAGGTCCTACATACAGCACCACGTTTCTACATACTGTCTGGTAATCCTAATCTTTTACTACTATTTGTCTGTTGAATAAATTAGATTAAGAGTGTGATTATTATTTGGGGGCGATAAAAATGTTCTGGAATTAAGAAGTAGAGATGTTGCACAACTGCAAATATACTAAAAACACTGAATTGGACACTATAACAGCATAGAGTCAGGATAGGCAAATTATCTCAAAGTTATTAAAAATAAGTTTTTAAAAAGTATGATTATCAAAAAAAAGTACTAATTTCTTATGCTTTCTATCTCTAGCATGTAATAAAATCCCATATCTAATATTGGTGAATGAAAACAGTGAGGATACTAGTAACTAGGCTATATAATAAAGTACCCCCAAAATGTAGTGACATAAACCACGCTTTGTCACGCTCGCAGGTTTCGTGGGTCAGGGATCTAGACAGGGTACGGCAGGGATGGCTTGTCTGTGCTCCACAGTGTCCAGGCCTTGGCTAGAAGGTGGGAGAGCCAGAATCTCACATGCCGGGTGGGCTGCTGGTTGGCAGCTTAGGGATGGCTCTTTAATGGCCTCGCTGTGTGGTCTTCCTGTGTGGCTAGATGGGCTTCCTCACAGCATGGCAGCTGGCTTTCCCCCAGAGCGAGTATCCCAAAAAGACAAGCCAGGCAAAAACTGTGCCCCTTTTAAGACCTACCTGCGAAGTCACAGAGCACCACTTTGCCACACTACTGGGTGAGGCAGGTCACAAACCCAGCTCAGGTTCACAGGAAAGGGAGAGAGAACCTACCTCTTCATCAAAGTTCACGGAAGAAGACTATGGAGAATGGAAGATATCACTGAGTCTGTTTAGGAAAATACAATCTGTCCCCCTAAGTGAGTGCTACAATAACATCTCAATCTTCTTTGAAGACTGGAAAACTAAAAACCAGGGTTAAATGGAATCTGGGTAAAAAGTCAATTAGTATTTCAACCCGCATGAGCTGAACCTCTTATTACTTGTAATAAAAAAGTTGTAACTTGTAAGTTAAGCCTAAATTACTATGCTGTCCTGCCTTAGTAAATACAGCATTATGACCTTGATTTAATAGGTGGTGATTCAGATTCACCCCCAAGTGACAACTGGCACTGCAGCTTCTCTGTAAGAATACAGAATGCCACCGCCAGGCAGAAATGTGGGTGCTGAGCCAGAATTTATCTCGACACTCCAGGCTGAAGGCTCAGTCATGCCCTTTGTCCCTCCCGTACATGTCTCCAGCATACTTAGTAGAGAAGTTCAACAAGTGACCAAAAAAGAAGGAAGAGAAGGTAGAAATTTTTAAAATTCTGAATCAGAGAGAGCTCTAAATCAGAGGCCTATTGTTATGATAAACCCCTTTCTGACAAAAAGAAAGCAAAGAACAAGGAACTGAGAGCAAACCTCTTTTGTCAGGAAAGTGATCCTTAGAAGAATAGAGAGCCAGGAGCCAGGTTTTTGATCCTAGATCTGGTTCTGACCTGGTTTGGGACCTTAACCAAGTGGCATAACTTCTTTGGGCCTCATTTTCCTCATCTGTAAAAATAAAGGGATTGAATTAAGACAAAGATTCTTAACTGAGGCCTACAGATGAACCACGGTTGTGGCCACTGATATGTGGTTGAATCTATCTTCAAGTTTAAACTCTATTATGTTAATGTTCATTAACAGAGAATGAATTCTACAGGAGTGTGAAGTGTTCTCCCAGAGCCACATCCTCAGCAGACCTTGGTACGATGCTATCACCCTCCCTGGGCTGCCTCAGCAGCTCCTCCCTGGCTCCACCCCTCAGACCTCAGGCCCCTTGGAATTACAAACAGATGTTTCAGTCCCATGCGCTCAACATATCAATATAGTTTAAATGCACAAGGGGAACTAGTTTTCAAAGAAATTATGCTACCGTATTCTAACAAACAGCAAACAATTCTTTGGTAACAGAGACGATAGGCCCTCATTTATTATTTCGCAAGTTTGACTGTTTGAACATGGGTCTAATTTGGGCCTACCTCCCCAAAACCAACCACCATGATATCCTGGAAACAGGCAGGGATAGTTCCCAGGAAGTCAGGCTCTCTACAGCCCTGGAGTGTTACCAGAAAGCAGCTCTTCAGATGGACGGAAAGCTCTGCCAGGACCACACCAACAATTATGTTTTTGGGGATGTCACATACTGTCTGTCTTCAGAAGGTGTGGACATGCCAGCCCCATTCTACACAGCCACAGACTGAGGTGGCAGTATATTACACACACAGGCTAGCTCCCCAGCCTGAAGTTGAAAACCATCTCTCAACCATAGTCTGTTGTCAGGAACCAACAGACCAAGGCAGTGTCACCAGAGAAAGAACTGAGCTGAATGGACAACCCTGGCAGATGAAGAGAAAAGGATGTGCTTCGCATGGAAAGCTGAATTTATTTACACTAATCATGAATGCAGGCTCTCAGCTGGGAAAATCTCACTTAAAACGCCAGAAGGTTCAGAACCCATTCATAAGCTTTTCAGAATGCAAGCAGTTGCCATGGTAACCCTGACATTATGTTTCTTGGCATTGGACATATAAATTACCACCCATAATGCACTTAATACAGTTTGGGGCCACCAATTCAATGCAAAATAAATCTCAGTTCTGACTCTTGGCCTCCCTCTAACAAACAAAGAGGACCAGCTGGACCCAGGACCCAGCTCACCCCATGGATAAGCACAGAGCTCCACACATCCGAAAATGCTCATCTGAAGGCAAAATAAGAACTAAGGAAATTAGACTTCATCATCTACAGCCGTATGGGTGAGATTTTGTAAAACAAAATGTTCCCTTCATATTAATGAAACTGTTGTTGCTTAAGTTAAAGAAATAAATATATTACATCCATATCTACATCTCTGAAATTCAACTATGTTTAGCAAGTTAAAGAAAAAGCAGATCTCTTCAAAGAACGTCTTCAATAATTCATTGGAAGGGATTTGTCAACACCAAGTAAGGTAACTTTTCAAATGTCAAAACTGTCATTAACAAGAAATATGAAGTTTTATTTCTCAGGTTCGGAAGAGATCTATTCAATCATAATTCTTTATCTTGACCAGAGATATTAATAAACATTTACGAGACATAAATGCATGATTTTTAAAGTCCCTTACCTTCCTATAATCCACCATCTGAACAGAGAGACGAAAACAAAATTATTGTGTACAAACTGCAAAGGCATCTTCAATTTCACATTCCCAAGAAGCCCACCGCATCAATAACTTAACAGAGCTGCTGCAGGTCATGCCTGTGCTAGCCACAGCGTTCACAAAATCGCTTACGTTCTAATCACTAAACCACCAGGTCCAGGGGAGTATTACCTTCATTACTTCCTCCTTCAGATTGCCGGCAATAGTCAGCAGTTGTGAAGGGGAGCAAAAGACTTCACCACGGGTTGTTTCCATATTAACAGGGACTCTGGTAACCGCTGCATTGCAGTCTTTCTGAAAGCTACCAACCTCAGAAGCAAAAGCGCTGGAGAGAGACTCCCAGCACAGAAAGCTGTCAAAGATTTTTAAGAATCTTAAAAAAAAATGTTGCAAACACCTAGGGGTATTTCTACATTTCCAGCCTGTTTCCTAAAGGTTGCCTGGTGTGTGGTTTTTACTGGAGGATGGCTGTGACAACTGATTGTGCTGGGTAAGAATGCTGAAATGAGTGAAATGTGCATTATGACACAACATCTTTAGTGCTCAAGTACTCCTTGTGAGAATCTGCACATCTGCTGCTTAGCACAAGCTTCAAAGCCCCTGCTGAGGAACTCCTGGGAATCAACCATGATTTTCATTCCAAAAAATGTACTTCCAGTTCCTCTGTGGGCAGCAATCACTGCGAACACCCAGCTACCCCCACAGTACGGTAATAACCATTACATGGAGCACTTGAAACATTAAACCATGGACCATACAATCAAATTCGGAAAAAGAGACTTTTGAAATAGTAGCATGCTTACTAAGTAATCTTTAATTTTCATTCATTCATTCCATACATTCAGTGAACCACATGCTGTATGTAAAACATAAAAGTTGACCATTCCTAACCCAAAAATCCAAAATCCAAAACTTCTGAGCACCAACATGACACAATTGGAAAATTTCACACCTAACCTCATGCAATGAGTTGCATGTCAAAATGCAGTCAACATTTTGTTTCATGAACAAAATTATTAAAAATATTGCAGAAAACTACCTGCAGGCTATGTTTATAAGGTATATATAAAACGTAAATTAATTTTGGGTTTAGACTTGGGTCCCATCCCCAAGACAGCTCATTACATAATGCAAATTGTCCAAAATCCAAAAAAATCCAAAATCTGTAACACTTCTGGTCCCAAGCATTTTGAATAAGGGATACTCAACCAGTAAGTCTAAGATAAACCTCCTGTCATGGTGGTTTATCTGGAGGCACTCTGGTAGGAAGACTAATGGAGAACAAGCCATCCCCAGCGTGAGGATGAATATGGTGGAGAAGGCCCAACGCTGCACAGGAAGCAGAACCAGAGCTCATCTGGGAATCCAGGACAAGGTTCTGTGAGCAAGGAACATTTACGAGGAGCTGAAGGATGTGGACTCCACTGGGGAAAGGAGGGGAAGGGGAAGACATCTCCAGATGGCTGTGCACATTCACCAGCATGTACCAGTGGGTCCTCAGCAAGCATGAGGACCCATCCCTCCCTATCAGCAGCCCTGAGCAGGCACTGCCACCACCACGATGGACAGACACCTAGGTATCTGGGACCTGAGGCATACGCTTGCCCAAGACAACTAGTGACCAAGTGCAAGTGCCAAAATTCGAACCCCAAAGGGCAGCTCTGTACTATACGACACCACTGTGCTGCCCCTCAATCAATAACAGCTGTCTTCTGGCGATTCTGGTAACCAATCCCTGACAGACATTACTGTCTAAAGTAGCCTCTGTTTAGATGTGTTTTCTTCCACCCTCTGACTAGTGCCCAGCCTGACACTGGATGAATGAATAAACAAATTAAGGTATCTACTGGTCACTCTCTCATTCTAGTAACATGAAATGACCTGCAGTATCCCTGCAAACATTATGCTGTTCTGAAGAATACACCCTTTCTATGCCTTCCCTCTGTCTACCTAAGTCAATTTCACACCTTTGGCTCTGGACTGTTCTCCACCAGGAAGTCTTCACTGACTCCTTTCCCACCTCTAGCAACAAGGCCCCTTCCTCTGGCCCCCGTCATCAGCAGCTACCACACTGTACTGACAGTTCCACATGCGACCCCTGCATCGGAGCCCACAGGGAGAGTCAATTTGGTATCTTCAATGTCCAGCACCTGACTGCTGCAGCTGCACTCATGGAGGACTCGCCACAGGCCAGCCACCACCGGCCGCCCCACAGAACTCACTTGTTCCTCTGTGAAGAAGCTACCAGAATCATCTCCATCTGACAGACAAGGAGGCTGAGGCACAGAGAAGCTAAGTGACAGTCCAAGTGGGAGGGCCAGGACTCAAGCCCAGCACCCAGGCTCCACATCCTAACCACCCCTTCTTCCACTCTCATAGGCTAGAGTTCACTGACACCAACTGGAGAAGACGGTGTTTTCCTCATGGGGGTGGGATGGATTAGATTTATGGAAAAACTTCCAAGGAAATACTGTAGTCTTTCTATCCCATCCCTCCCTTTTAAGGTGAGATATTAATATAAAACGCTAATACATTAGACCAAACCAGACGCACCTCGTGTGTAAACGCCTGACTGATGGGGAAAATCTCACAGCAAGTGGTGAGTGGGCAGAAGAGAAGGCACAGAGAGGCAGCGTGAGGTAATTTCTTTTTGCCATTTCTGTGCTTTATAGAGACTCACTAGAGCAGTTTAAAAGCCTCAGAGGAACTTTCATCAAATGCCTCTGAGCATATTTAGGTGCCAATCTGGGCACTCCCACAGAAGTTCCAGTAGAACTCTGTCTTTCAAATCAGGGATCAAGGCTCATTCCCTGGCAGGCTCATTCCCACCAGCCCCAGACGGCTGCGGTGTTGTAAGAGGCCTCCTCCCCCACTGATGTCAGTCCAGCAACCCTGAGCCCAATACGGCCAGAATCTTGTGCTCTGGCCTGAGTGGCCCTTCCCAGGGGGTCTGGAAGAGTGAACAGGGGTCCAACATCAAGACTGTTGTGCCTTCTGGAACAATGCCTAGAGAGACGGGGAGGATGGCAGATCCAGGGCTGAGATTTCAGGGTAGTGTGCCCTGGTGGGGAGAGGCAGGCAGAAGGCATGAGCTACCTCCAGGGCCGGGGAAGGAAGGTCAGAGGAGGAGCATGCCACAGAACCATTCCCACCACCCTCCAGTTCGACCATCTGAAAACCAAGGGCACCAGGTCCCAGGACTGTAACAGACTAGGTCCCTACGCACCTGTGGAGGTGGTTTCCTACTACTATCTCTACTTCACAGATGAGGAGACAGCAGGCTCCAGTGGCA